TTTTCTTGTTAACAAGTTTCGGAGAACAGGTTCGGTTCCCCCAATTAAAGAATTTAGTTGCGTAGGCGTTATATGTATGTACATATGGCCATAGGTGTGTCTTTTCTGCATAAACTGGAAATAAATTTGAATAATAGTCTGCTTTCACCAATAGTTCAATAAACTGGAAATTTATATTAGTAACAACTGAAATGCAGGTATTTGGTAAATCGTAACAAAGAAGTTATGATTTTCTGCGCGATGGTCTATGATTCGGCTCAATTTTTGTACTTAGACTAACTTGAAACCAAAACTTGATAAAAATGAATTTGGATTTTTTTTTTTTTTTAACCACTCAAGCCAACAAAATTTCTTATGAGCTCACTATTTCTTGTTTAATTTATGAAAGGTAAGGCTGAGTGGTCAGAGTTGCGTACTAGGTCGTGGGTTCGATCCCTGGCAACATCGAACTTAGAGAAAATTGTTCGGTCGCCGCTCGGCAGAAAATGGCAAACCTCCAAGCGTACTATAGCCATGAAAAGCTTAGCATAAAATTGATTTGCCGTTCGAAGGCGTGGTTAAAATTGTAGGTTAATATATTTGTGTAACGACATCAAATGTGCAAGCGCCAAAATGTTATTATAACAATTTTTAAGCAAAAAATAAAATCGACTTAAATTCTCATATAAAAATTTAAGAGTACCGTTAACTTCTTCATGATCTAATTACAGATTTTTAATGAATCCTGTTTTTTTTTGCATTAATTTTGTTGATATTTTATTTAAAGTAAAAATATGAATAACTGAGAAATAATAAAACCTAAACAAAAAACACAATAAATTGAAACAATTAAAAAACTTTTCAAATCTGATTACTAAAAAAATTTACTTAGTCAATTAAAAAAGTGATAATTAAAAATTTTCGAAAACGTGTTTTTTTACTTTCGTCGTAGGTAGTTAGTTTGAAAACAAAAAAATATTTTATATATCGACTGCTGAGTGGAAGATCGACCTATCTCGGCAGCCAGTTCGAGATAGAGCCTTTTCGAGCTGGCTGTCGAGATAGGTCGATCTACCACTCAGCAATCGATATATTCAGATTTTTAATATTAAGCATAGCAATATAAACAGATTTTAACACACCTTCATTAAAAAAATCACTAAAAATTCTACGAAATGGTAAAGTTAAGTATAATTCGCTGTAACTTGAACCCTCCTATTGGACACTTTGTACTACATACCTAGATCTGCACATCTAGATCTACTCGAAAAAAAATTTGGATGATTTTTTTGCTTAAATAAATTCACAAAATTTGCCTCCAATTAATGCAGATATTCTTCATGATTAAATACACTTACTAAAAAAGTACTGTTATACCTATTTTTGTATTAATTGCGTCGAATCTGTACAATCCACAAGCAGTTATGTTTTCGGATTTGATTTTTGAGTTAGCTGACTTCTGATATA